CCAAACGGCAACCGCGGCAGCAGCAGCAGCAAACACCAAACGGCAACGGCGCCAACGGCGGCGGCAGAGCCGAACCGGAATTCAGCAGAAAAGAAGCTAGGTACAACTTAGCGAACGCCCGCTTGGAGACCGAAAGTTGGCCAATCAGCGGAGGCCTCAAAAAGCATAGCTCGACGATTGGTCCGTGGAGACATCTCTTTAAACTCACTAAAGAAGAGGCCCAGGCGTTTGAAGAGAGTAGAGGTTTCTAGCCAACCAGAGAGGGGTCTGAGAGAGGGACTGGCGGAAGGCGATACCACGGACCCTATCACGGAAACTGGATCTCCCCCGAAGAGGCGGGGCGCTAGGGATGGGGCGTGGTCTCTGGTCTCCGGCCTTGGGGTGGGTTCCAGGAGGGGGAGGGGATGGGCGTGGCCGGGCGGGGGGCGCGCCCACGGCACCATAGGCGGGGTGAACGGAGTCAGCAGCGGGAGCCGGATACGGGCGCCGGGGCCCTGGGCATGGGCGGAGCCGCCGCCAGCGCCGCCGCTTGGGGCTGGTGGCAGTCGCTGCTGGAGGAGCCGGAGCTCCGGGGACGAGCCGCCGCTGCTGTTGCTGCTGCTGCTCCCCTCGCGGGGCCCAGCTCCCGAGGGCGTTGAGATGCTGGGGAAAGGGGTGGGCGGTGGCGGCGGCTCCAAGACGCCCAAGCCCTCCTTCGTGTCCTACGTGCGCCCCGAGGTGAGCGGCGCGGCCCGGGCGGAGGCGCCCAGGCGCGGGTGGGGCGGGGGGCTCCAGGAGCCGAGCGGTCCCTCCGCCACCTTCTTCCCCTGGCTTGCGCTGGAGAAGGCGGGCGGAGGTGCGGGAGCACGGGGACGCCCCTTCCCGGCCGGGGTCCCGGGGCGCGGCGTCTCGGAGCTGGAATGCGGGCGGGCTCCCGGGGCCGGGAAGGGGCGTCGGTGCAGGGCCGCAGGTGTCGGGCTGGCGGGAGCGGGCGGCCCTGTGGGCCCGGAGCGGTGACTGTGGCCGAGGACCTTACCGCTGGCGCGCCGAACGTCGGGCTCCCGACGGGGAAGACGTCGGGGCCCGTGCTTTCTGCCCTCGGTCAGGGCGCGAAGGCTGCCCGCGGTTTGGGGCGCTTCTGCAGCGCCTCCGCACTTGCTTAGACCTTGCACACTGCGCTTCAGGCTCCGGCGTTTCCAGTTCCAAGTGTGCTGTGGAGGCCTGAGTCCCCTGACGCCCGTCCTGTCTGGAGGACAAGCCTCTCTCTGTGGCCTAGCTTCGCCTGGTCGCCTTGTCCGTCCATCCCTTGCTCTGCGCCTCTCTGGATCCTGTTTTTGCCTTCTTTGTATAGCCAGCGCTTAGCGAAGTTACCTGGTACCTAGTAAGGGCTTAATAAGTGCTTGTTGACTGACAGTCCCTCCCCCTTCCCCCCAGTCATTTGCCTCCTAAAACCTCCATTCATTTCTTTCCTGGTTTACCCCTCTCAAAGCACAAGTTTTATAGAAAGCCCTATTTTTAGAGAGTATAGACGTAATTTGGGGTTATACATGAACTCAACCAGAGAGACCTTGGAAGTGACCCTACCTTCCTGAAGCATACAGTGGAGCTCAGGCTCTGATAGGTATTGCCAAGCTGGAAAGGCTTTGAATCTGGCACTGCCCAGCTGATAGTCCTATCAATATACCTGTTGTACTCATCTGGGGGTAAGAAAGATCCTGCCTCAGACACTTCCCAGCTTTATGACCTTAGGCAAGTCAGGTAGTGTGTCTCAGCCCCCTTGTCTTTGAAATAGGGATGGTAATAATGCTTTCCTCATTAGGTTGTTGTGAGGATCAAAGGAGATGGAGCACCTTGCACATCTTAGAATGCTATATAAATGCTTGAAATTATTGTGCTGGCTTCCCACCCGTCAGCCCATAGTGAACAGCTAGTTAGCTGTAATAGAGCATTTTTGTATCACTAAAGTACCTTGTACTTATCAGGCAATTAATTCGTGTTCCTCCTTTGGTTGAATGGTCTGTTGTCTAAAGATTAACCTCTAGCTCAGTTCCTCACCAGGTTTCCTGCAAGATGATATATTTCACCACTGCACCTCTTGTATGTGGTCTAGGATGTGGAGGATTTGAGGTGTGTAGTTGTCTGGGAATGGATACTATCTTTACCATTGTGACCATGGATTCTTGATATTTGAACCTCAAAGACAAATTCAATAGTTGCAGTCTTGCTCTAGGTTTGTGAAGTTTCCTATCCTCATTTCTCTCTTTGTCACTCACAACCCATTCTCTTACTCCTCCTATGTAGTTGAAGTAACATATTAATTCTCTCTGAGTGATTTGGAGTCACAGGAAACCAGCTTGAATGTTAGAGTGGCACTGTATGATTAGATAGATATGGTCTTACCAGGTGTCTCACTTCTGGCCCCAAGCAAGACCAGAAGTTTTTTATATATAATTTTCTTAAGGTACATTGAATACTTTGTGGTGTTAGGTGGCGTGTAGAATAGCTAAAAGATATTCTTATTTTTAGATCTTATTTTTTAAAATAAATAACCACTTCCTCAGTAAACACTTAGAATGGGTCAGCATCCTCTTAAACTTTGAACAAAGGCACTCATGTATAAGTGAGATGGTTTTGGTTTATCTCTGCTATTTTTGCTCAGGTGTTCTTCAAAGGGCAGTTTTTGGTCTTTTAATTTGCTCCCTAAGAAGAATAAAAATTTTAATTGTAAAGTCTGCTGAGAAATATAAGAGACCAGGAATCCTTGAACCTTCCATGTACAGGTGTATTTCTTTTCATTAATTAGGTTTTTATTAACTCTGCCCACAGGCTAATTTTGTTTTTTCCTTTGGAGTAGTTTAGGAAAGGGGAGTAGTTAAAGCACAAGAATTCATCAGAGCTAATAACTTCCCCCACTAATTTATTTCAGTTGACTTATTTGTTTTTCTTGAACCAAAATAGTTTAGATTATAGTGGTAAAGCACCTAGTAATCTCCCCCTCCCCCCAGTACCTTCTAAACTAGAGAAATGTCTATTGTGAGAGTTCAATCAAAATTGTGGCCTCTCTCCCGTTTTTAAAGGTATTGCTAAAGTTAGTATTAAGTCCTTTTTATTGGTCATATTATCAGAAATTCAATGAGAGGTATTTAGATAAAGCTTGTGTGGTTCTGACGATGGTGCTAGTTTCTCTGCCAAGGACCTTACATTGCTCAGTTGTATAAGAACTACTTCAAAATATTTTTCTGAAAGCTCTTAGACTAGTGGCCTAGTGCTTTTTGCTTCATTATCCCTTCAAATGTGTATTACTTTTTATCAGTTGGGAAAGTGTAGGGAGAGTTTTGGCATCTTTAGATTTAATTGATACCTGCTGTTAATGGGAAATTATTTGAGATCTCAGAAGGTTCAGAGGTGCTTTTCTGTAACTAGACTTGTCCTTTTCACAGACTATTATAATGAAAGGGATCTTGGAAATAGTCCAATACACCCTCATTTTACAGATAAAGAAACTAATGTCCAGAAAGGTTGTGACTGCCCAAAAAGATCACAGAGCTGGTAAATGGTGGTAGAACTACTGCTATCATAGTGGATACTTAAATTTAAGGTTTACAAAATATTTTATATAGTTCTTTTTCGAACCTTGCAACAATGCAGTGAGGTAGGTTCTGCAGGTATTGCCCCCATTTTTCAGATGAGGGAAAATAGTGGCTTAACATAGGCTAAGTGATTTGACCAAAGTCATACAACTACTAAGTGTCAAAAGGGAATTCAAATCCAGTTTTCTCCTTTCTTCATGTCCAATACTTTTCTCTCTACCACTGCACTGTTTCTGTAGTTGTACATTTGGTTTTTAATAACCTTATGTTCATAAAAGCAGAAGCATTGAACTGACCAAAATGCTTGAAGAAGATGCTTTTCATATTGAGTTTGTTTTTCTTTTGCCCTGACACTGTTGGCATTGGACCTAGTCAGGTGGGATAGAATTTGGTTCTGTCCTTTTAACAGGATGTGGCTGTACTTAAATGACTAGCTGTTTAAAAGGCATAGAGTCAGTAGCCCAAGAAATCTTCTTGTCCCAGATCAGTGGATATAAAAGGTTTAAAATCTTGAACTGTGATTTAGAGCCTTCAGTCCTTTTTAGTAACAAATTCCCCCTCAGTGTAAAATCAGTTATGTAGAAAAGTGGGAAACAGATGGTTTATGTGTTGGAAGAATTGGTGCCTGGGTGGCCGCCTGAAAACAGCCCAAGAGCTTAGAATATGAGTTGTGAGAGTGGGCTTTGTATTTCCTTCTTTAGGCTTTTTTCTGTACCATAGATAGCACAGAACATCATTACTAGGGATAGGAATGTTGAAGGGAGCATTTGGGAGCTAGGAAGTTAGTGTTTATTTAGTTGAATGCCGAAGCATTTGAATGAGTGTGAAGCTACAAGGGCAAAGGTAACAGATCCATGCTTCAGTTAAATTAAAGAAATAGATAGACAGACAGACAGATAGATGATAGATAGATAGATAGGTGGATGGATAGATATACACCTTGTTCAGGATCCTGTGCTAGGTTCCTGGGGATAAATAGGCCATAGTCCTTGCTCTAAGGAGTTTACAATGCTTCTTAACAAGATTATATACATGCCCGTGATGGTGAAGTCATGGGGCAGAACAAGGCTAGTAGAGTAGAACAATATTAAAATGACCCATTCTGTGATGATTTTTTAAAAAAATGTTTTATTGTTCATCTTTTTAAAACATCATTGACACTGCCCAGTGATTTCCTGATGTGTAATCAGAAGGCCATTCTCTGCCAGGTACTAGTTGTGTGACCTTGGCTTTATAAATTACTTTATCTGAGTAAAAGTTTTCTCTTTCAGCTCTTACTTTATTCAGTATGGTGAATGTACTAATCAGGCAGCTCACATTCTAATGGGGAATAATTCATGTGTTAAGAGAGGACAGCTGCAAGTCAGAGGGAAAGGTCCCATTGTCCTTAAGGGCAGTGATAAAGCAGATGGTAATGTGACTTCTTTAGTGTCATCTCTATTGATAAAATATATGTATATACACACATACACATATACATGTATGTGTATATACACACATACACATATACATGTATGTGTGTATACACACTAAATGCGTAACACCATGAATATGACATGTCTACTGATAAAATTATAGTGTCATATCTATTGATAAAATTATTGATATTCCTGAGGTTGAGCCATTTGACCGTGCCAAGGGACTTTGGTGGTCAGAACTTTCTTTTCCCTTCTTCAGTAGCTGTGGTTGCTGAGGAGGTGGAGTGATAGCACCCACAGAAGGAGTTGCCATGTCTTATCTCCACAGGGGCTGCTTCCTAGGATGGTGGCTCAGGGGGCCAAGCTGGAAGCAAGACTGGTGGTCAGGGGAGTGCTCTGCCACTATTGGGCTTTCACAATTCGTCAGCAGTGGGTGGTGGAGGAGGTGATGATTGTGAGTTCTCCAAAGTGACTTTGTCCCTCGATGATGACTGCAGAGTCTAGGCTGGAAGCAGGTTCAGTAATCTGAGAGGCATTGCTAATCCCAAAGCTCTTAGGTTTAGGATTCTGGGATATTGAAATCAGTCTGAAGGGAGGTGGTGGCTGTCAGTATTGGTGGTTTAAGTTGTCTGGCGGATACTGTCTTCCATCTCTCCCTCAGGCTGGCTTGTTGTTGGTGGGTTGGCCAGTTTGGAGCATAAAGTGTTTGAGAAAGAATAACATGTAATCA